TATATAAATTAATAACTTTAATATTTTATAATTTAATATAATTTTATATATCTAAAATAATTAACCTATTGTATTATTTTAAGTATTTTATTTTATTAATTATATATATATTTATATAAAGTAGCCCGCCTTAGTAAGTGGCTCGCCTTGGTGTACAGTACCACCTTTAAGTGGTGAGGCATAGCGAACCAACTAAATAGTGGGGCGGGCACGATTAGAGGTTTCAGAAAATTCAGAGGCCTAGACGTCAAGGGGTTCGCCGTACCACGCCCGTCACCGCCGACGACAAAGCACTATTCTAGTTATTCATTCTGGATTGTGCACCGTCTGGGAGGCCACAAACGAAGCTAAAGGGGAGGGAGTCTAGGGCTCTGGAATACACAAAGCAGGAGCAATAATACGTGGAATGTCGTTTTCCGGTTCCTGGTGTCGTGGGGGAGCTGGAGACCAGCCTTGGTGTCGGTTCGGGCGAGTCTCCGTTTCCCGAAACAAAATAGGTTTGTCGGTATGTAAGTGGCCAGACCAGCAAAGTGAACGTGCCGTGGCGACGCCCATTTTTTGTGTGACAACTTGGCTGCACTGCTGTTTGTGCAAACACACCATGGCGGCGGCAATTCTGTGGCCATTTTTATGTCTCAGGGTTAGGGTTATATGCGGGGTCGCTCTGAAAATGCTACGAGGCAAGCTATTTCGTGTTCGCGAAAGGGCGATGGTATTATACGGAAGCGAGGCGGTCGATCGATGCACATTTCTTGTCCCTTTTTAGTGGACTGGCCGGCGGAAGGGACGCCGGAAAGATTTGCCGTGATAAATGAGGTTATTCATGGCATCCATTTGACGCCTCTGAAGTTCTCGGACCCCCTTGGAGAATGCTGTAGGGTAATCACCGAATTATCGGTAGTGACCATCGTTTTTGTTCCCCTCTGATTGAAAGGGCTTATTTCATATCGCCACACAAAATAAAGAAACGCTTATGAGCACTAGAGACTGTGACGTACAGACAAAGGGAAAGAGGGTGGGTGGGTGTTCAAAAAAAAACTGTCAAGTGGTTTGTGGATCAAAGGTCAATGTAGGTCCGAGGACCAGCAATTGTAAGACGTGAAAAACAATGGGCGAGGATAAAGTCGCGGGCAGGCAAAGAAGTGTCTGGCTTGCCATTTACGGTGATTGGTCATTGTCTAATACTCTAAATTTGCGACTTTGTCGACTTTGCAACCGCCATGGATGAACAATGGTGGATGATACCTGTGAGGGGACCTCCTAACGCACCACGTGCCAAATCGACTTTGACCTCGCTTTTGAACAACCATTCTTTCATCACATTGGTCATCGTAATGACGTAGTACCGTACGATGCTTGTTAAGAACTCGTTTAGACAATGGGCATAGGGGGGTTACTCGCTGACTAACCACCTACACCCAAAGCATCTTCAGACTATATAATACTCATTTACGTACGACCTGGGAAGGGCTTTAGCTTTTGTTTTCGTTCAAGCTGTTTTTTTTAAAACCAGATCTATCATACGCCCTCGGCCTGCGGCTCGTTTTGAACTCCAAACCACAATTTCCCTCGCGCCTCCATCCAAGCCGGACCGGATACGGTATCTGGCTATCGCGCGCTATACTACAATACTCCGCAGCGGATGAAATAGCAACAGACAAGTAGATCCTGTCGATTATTGCATGCCATGTATCCAGACTGGCCAGACTCCGTCACCGATTTGGTGCCACTCCCACAGTGCCCTGGCCCTAAGCTGAAGCCCTTTGACTTTCAGGGCCCGCAAAAGATCAACTTTCTCGAGTTCTGGGAGAGGGTCTGCATTCATTTGTATTCAAGGTGGAAATCCTGGGCCGCATCTACGCTTTGAAACTTGTAAGTAACGAGTAGTATCCGAGCAGACACAAGATATAATAGGATATTGACTTCTACCTAGTTCAGGTTTGAGGACGCAGAGTGTTGGGATTGCGGTGCACAAAACTTTGAAACAAGCGATGTCACTGCACTAACCACCATTTACAATAATTCAGAGCCCTTCAACCGTGAATGCCGAAGTTTCGGCCGCCTTCAAGAAGCAGGCTACGAGGAGCTCGCGGTTACGTGCTTTGGCTACCTACTCCTCGACGAAGAACACGAGCGTGCCATGAGGGACAAGTTCACCGGCATGGAACTCGAGTTCGATGGTAATGCTGAAAGCCTTGGATATAAAGAGGCGCGTTCACGCTTTCCAGGTAAAAGCGGCAGGCCGCCACCAATCCGAGGCATTGTTAAAGAATTTGGCTTTGGTGTAGAGGAATTAAAAACGAGGGATATGAAGAGACTTTTTCGAACCATGACTCAACTCCATCAGCTTGGCATCATCAATCTCGATGTCGCGGACCGACAGCTTATTGGTGGCAAGATCTGCGACTTCAGCACAGCCATCACTGTGCCGCACCCTATCACAACTCCGGAGCTAAACCCACATCTTTATATTGAGAGTGAAGCATTGAATATGTTGCAGCTTGGGACCTTCGTCATTTGTATGAATGATTATTGGACATTTGACGACATGGTCCGGACATGGAATGAGGAGCACGAGGACCAGAAAACTGAAATATCAGCTCGTGCGTACCCCAGCGGATATGGGTGCCGAATAGATTATAATCTGCGATATACACCATCTCGGGCCCGCGCTTATACTTTCGTTGACCCAAGGAAGTACGATTGGAAGGCATGTACCAGCAATCCGGGCCCAGACGCAGGGAGAACACCGGATAGCCCGCGGACAAGACGAAGAATAAAAAGTCACGCTCAGGTAACCTCTACACGAGGGGTGTCGAAAACCCGACCACGCCTTGATAGATGGCCGCCTAGGTGGTACCTTGATTGTTATCCAGAGCTGGAGGCCCTTTTAAAAAAGCAAACGCAGCTTACTTACACTGTTGAATGGCATTCCAAGAATGGTCTTATCTATCCGCGCTTCCCAGGGTCACTGTCTTTATTGTTGGGTTAATAAAGTGACATTTAGAGGCTATTAGTCACGATGGCTGCTTTAAATCTTTTCTAGGGTTTCAGTTATACTATGATGTATTGTAGTATGTTAGTGAGCACTTCATGGTGGGCAAATATATTCTGTCACTAAATGCATTTGTTGTGGAAGTCTGACAGCCACCGTAGGTATCACAAAAGTGCTCGCTTTAAATATTAGAGAGAGGACTTATCCTTGGTACTCAACCTATCTATCCAACCATAAACTTTTTATAGATATCGAGAGTTAATGTGAAAGTTCGAAAAAGTCCTCTATCACAGGCGTTCCTCGTTACTGTCGCCTGTCCCATTAAGTTCAGGCGTTCGGCACCGGCGGACGCCGAGTCCATTAATCAGAGATCCGAGTCGTTATAGCTCCTTAAGGCTTTTCGAGGTATCGCGATATCGCTCGGTATATTTAAATATAACCGTTAATAGTAGATTACTAAAACAGCCGGGAAATTTAAAAAAAAAAGAAAAAGAAAAAGAAAATAAATTAAAGATAAGGGGCAAATAAAGAAGGCTAATAAGCTACTTGGAAATATCGTCGTTGGTGAGATCTAAATAGGAAAATTCGTTGGTACTGGCCAAGTTGCCCCGGCCGGACTGCTCAGACTGCTGGTTCGGATTAACGGAACTGGACCAGCCTAGGTTATTGAAGTCGGACCCGAGATTTGCATGAGATCCCATATCTTCAAACAGGGCATTGAAGGTACGCGGCGAGAGAGGAAGATCAGGAGTGCCCTTTGGCTTCTCAAAGTTCGAGTATCGATGGCGATATAGAGTTCCTTGCCACCCCTGAACCTCGACCCATTGGTTGATTCTAACCACATCTCGCTCGGCGACGATGTTGCGATTCTGATCGGGGCCAAGGCTAGCATGCAGAGCCACCACAGAGCAAGTTCCGTCGTGAGCGTATGGATGCCGTGCTTGGCCCATGGGATTGGCATAATCTCTACCTTGAACTTTCTATCCTCAGCTATGCTAAAGCAGCATGCAACCAGCTCTTCTTCTGTCTGGATGTATCCATACCGGGTCCCTGCATTCTGGCAAATATTTGCTAGCTGTCGTATTGGCCAGACGAGCTGCTGCGTGGGATTCCGGAGCTGAGGCAGGAGTCTCGTACAGCTCCATTTCTTGCTTGTTCTGCCAAAACCAACCACTAGAACTCTCTGAAAGGGGTCGTCGATACCGATAATGTGGTCCATAATAGAGTGTAAAAACGGGTACCCGTGGGCACTCGTGGGTATCCAAGTTTTTCTTAGGTTATTCGTGGGCTACCTATTTTATCATATAGGTGATTTAGGTATACTACAAATAAATAATTATAAGTAACCTATTTTCTCTCATAAATTTATTTAAGTCTTTTTTTCCTACCCATACCTACCCAAAGCCCACGGGTAAGCAACCCACACGGGTACCCGTGGACCTTTTACACCCTAGTCCACAAGGACACTAGTCGACGCAGTGGGGAGCCTCGACTCGTCGGGAGCTGAACAACTGAATGTGAGGTTGCTGGATTGGCAGAAACCAAGTTGTCTTTTGGCGTAACGGGCAGTCTGCTGCATAATTTTATCGTTCCAGCCAATTAGGTATATCTGATATCTTTATCTCCTTCGGTTATAACCCCCTTGAAGTTCCGTGGGCTGGGGCGTGGCTAGGCCGAGTTGGGATACTTTAGTATCAAGGACGTGACTGTAGGCTTCGTTGAGACTTTCTAAAGTGAATTCATGCCAGATCATGATGCCGCTTAATTGTGGCCAGGTGCTGCTGATACTGTTCCTAGTCTGTCTTGTTGCTCGACGTATGGTCGGCTTCTCCTGACAGAGAAGGTGTCGTAACGTCATATTGGTATGCTGGCTCGCCATATTCACTAACAAGACCACAAGTCGTGGTAATGAAATGCTCCAAGTCGTAATGTAGAGAAGGGAGAAGAAGGGTCTGTTCCTGACACGAGTGGGAAACGTGGTTTTAATGAGAGATGATGATTCTGCAACCCCGCCTGTGAGGTGGGCTATTATTGGCGGAGGTACAACTTGAGCTGTGTGATTGTGTTACCGTGGATTTGTTTTTAAGCGCCAGTCTTGCATTTCCTGTGGTTTGTCTTGTGCCCAATGCGTCTCTAACTATGACTTGGGCAGCAGGGACGTGCTCCGTCTGTTGGACGCGTACAGTGGTAGAGTGGGAGGCAAAAGTTACATAACAAAGATCAGGTACCTGAATATATTATAGTATATTAGTGTATACTCCTTAGTGGGCGAATATATTCTGTTGTAAGCTTTTTATGTCATGTTATCAAAATGGCCAAGTTGCCAGGCTCAAGTTCAAATTTTTGAGTTGACATTTGAAGCTGCTAGGAAGGCCAACCTGCCATACATAAAGATAGGGAACGCCCGGCACTAACGGACATGAAGACCCTGGTCTCCTCCAGATATCCCAGCCACTTTTGGTAGTGCAGCTGGCAGGTTAGGTCCATTACAGCCCTCAACGCCAAACAGGCACACTCCAGAGTCCAGATGAAACTCAGATGCCGACGCACAAACAGGCCATGGCTTATATTTAAATCTGAGTGACGTAACTATAAAAACACGAGCATGTTGTGCTCTCAGGGATGCTCCAAACGCAATATTTTCCGAGATGAGGCCTTCTTTGTCTCTTTGACAGAGGGGTGAAGCTTTGTCACACGGTTAGGCCGCCAATAAAGGGCCAACAACGGTTACACAGAGCATCACGCGATCAGGTCGGAAGCCTTGTGCCTTCAACCTGCACCAACTTGCATCAACAAATCTTCTTGAGACCAAACCCTGAGATAAACCAAGGCACGTTGACAACTCAAAGCGGATTATTAGCATGAATAGTTTTGTTCCAAGCCCTGTTATCTCAGCCCTTGCCACAGCAATCACAAGCCACCGACATTAAAAATCTGTATTATAATTGGTCTAGAAGGTCTTGAATAGTCGCAATTGGTTAGAATTGAGGTCGGTACGTATGTATGTTTGTGATTCGTACCCTGGCCCATGCAGCCTTGCTTACATCTATGCCAAGGGTAGTCAGCTGGACATTCAGCAAATGCCGGTTTTTCAGCTCCAGGGGACAACGGTCAAGCCCAATAAATGTTGTGACGGTCTAGCTTAACTGAAACATCCCCAAGTCTTTGAAGAACCAGTCGTTGTCAAGAGGGGTCCGAGCTGTTGTTGGGCGTGACTAAACCACGTAGCCGGAGTAAGAAGTAGTTACCCTTTGGTAAATTTTTTGATAGACCACTGAATTGATGTATTTGACACCCATGCAGGCAGAGAAACTTTCTGCAAGTGCCATGACACTGTGGACTGTAGCCTGTGGCAGGATATGCTCCTCTGTCACACGGCCAAGGCCTGGACAAAGGTATCGGATATCAAAGGTTACACAACAACTAAGAAAGGTATCACGAAAGCCCGGAGCCGGACCTTGGCAAGGGATGCCTAAGGCCGCTAGGGCTCACCGACTTCTTGTATATATAGAGACCTCTGGTCCCTCAAGGCCTCTTGGAAAACTAAGGACCTTTGATACCTCAAAGTCGATTATTAAGTTTGAATTGAACCCCCATGTTCCAAACCCAGTCACCCTGCCCTTGTCACATTACCTCAAATCAAGAAGTACACACTAAGTAGGCAAAGCGGGATTAAAATTGGTGGCCGAGTACAGTGATTATGGCATCTGGGCAAGCAATAAGCTGAGTGCAGCTTGTCTCTTTGTATCTTTTAATATAAATATATAATACGGCCATTCCCCAGCCTTTAATTTGTTGACAAAAAAAATCTCTTTAATAAATGGTTAATAGAAAAATGTGGCTTACGCTATTCACGTGTGTAGCATCGCGAACCTCGTAATTTGGTGTTGATGCCACCAAGCCGGCCGCAGGCCAGATCTCGCCGCAGGCGGGCCCCGAAGGGCCCCCATAGGAGATAAATTACAGGCTTCAACATCTTTCTCCGCTTTGCCTATCCCTAGGGAAACTTGCTTGTTGACATCAGGGTCTAATATATATGGAGCTCGATAGCCAAGCACCTGATGTTCAACACTTTTTGCCTCCCACTATACGCGGCATCAAAGTAATTTTCTTGCGGATCACCATTTAATTGCCTGTTGCGCGATCGGCACACAAAAAAAAGGGTCGGGAGCTTCACAGCAAATTATCCACTTTACTCACGCCAAAGAAGAACTTCTGTGCGCAGGCGAATTCCCAGTCCCACGGCATGCTCACGCCTCCCCCGACTCCGCCAAAAAACCCCCAGCACCCACATCCGCATGGTCCTGCGCATCACGGAGGATTCTTCTTTGGCGTGAGTAAAGTGGATAATTTACGCTGCGAATGAACACTCGGGGCTAGGGGGGACAAACTGCTAATGGCCACGCGTACAGGATTGCAACGAAGCTACCGGCAGGTGCCGTTTTAACCACCACGATGTTGGGGGGATGGGAAGATGGTCGAACCGTATCCCCTAGACTGCGATAAGGCTCCAGCCATGTATTTGCAGGGATTTTAAGCCAATTAAAAACTAGAAAATGAAAGGTACTTTATTTCACACTTAAATTATACTATGATAAAAGTCCCAATAAGCCTTTATGTTACAAAGAGCTACATATCACACATCGCAGCCCCAACGCGATTGACGGGCTACTACCAAAGTCACCCGAAGTCACCCAGCTGTTGTGGGTCCCGTGACTTCGTTGGAGCCTTATCGCAGTCTAGGGGATGAGCCACGGGGAGGCTGAATGACGCGCCCGACCATGTAGGTGATACTTTAAAATCCAAATCGGGGAATGGGAATTACAACGGGCTGACCGGGTGAAATGCGTGGGTAGTGCGGGACTAGCGGAGCCTGCAACATGAGCGCCCAGACGGGAAGAGTCGTGTGCAGTTGCCGGGAAGCTGCTGACTTTTCTGAGAAACCCGGCGAGGTGACATGAAGATGTGAGTGCGCTGTGGGGAGGAACTTGCTAATATACAGTGAGAGGCGGCCAGTATTTGCGCACCTGGTGGCGTGAAATGACGTTAGCTTGCGTAAATACATATTGCCTCCCAACTGCAAGTACGGAGCAGCTAGCTCAAGCTGAGATGCGAACGCAACGGAGCAACATTATCGGCATTGGCTGACCGTGGTAGTTGTTTTGGTTTCATGAGATTTCACCATGTTTGGCACTTATATGTAGAAGAGACGGGCGACTTTTCTTTGCGAAATGGACCGCTCGCCCGGGCTACTACTAGTCGGCCTCGGCGTCCTTGGGCCACCTTAGCCTCCCGAGCATGTGCATTCAACATTCAACTAATATGAAAGATGATTTTTGCCTAATCAAAACTGTCACCTCTTCCTATCGCTATGTGCAGCCTCGATGAACAAGTAACGTGCAGATGAGACGACATCTCCGCATGGTGCGAGACTCGAGCGGTCGGCAGAGGTCCCGGTAAGGTCCCGACAAGGTTCCGGCAAGGTTCCGGGATGAATTCCGTGCATGAAACTTGAATGTTGTGCTCCGCCTTGCGCCCCACCCCGAATGCCTTGGTTGGTCTTCCGGAAGGGAGACGCAGCCACGCCGTTACATCCCGCTTTCTACATCATTGCCAAGCCAGGCCTGCGTTTGGCCATATCGGCCCATCCCACTGTGCATTAGGCCGCCGCGACCATGTCTGGGGCTCATGGTGCTGCATTCAGCGTCTAGCTGAATAATAAATAGTACCAGACGCTCAAACATATGATAGTCAGTCCCTCCGGGTCGTGGGTCGTGGTTATAATACTCCCCCCAAACCCACACTTGTTTGAACCGTCAACTCCCACACACAACCGTACTTGCGCACTCCCAGACCAAAGAATGTCTCACCTCCAGTACTACGCCTACGAGAAGTTTGGAGTCCGCCAGCGGGAGGTGGTGGGCTACAGCCAGGCTGTGCGCGTCGGGGATCGGATCGAGGTTGCGGGACAAGGTATGTCTAGACTCTCTTTTTCTTTTCTCTTCTTTTTTCTCTCCCTTTGATCGTTCCAATTGTAAACGGTCCTTCTGATGCGGTTTTCTGCCCAGGTGGCTGGGATCCCGACACTGGGGTTTTCGAAAAGGAAATCAATGCGCAGATTGATCTGGCCTTTAGCAATGTTGACCGAGCCTTGAGGGATGCCGGGGGCAAGGGCTGGGAGCAAGTCTTTCGAATCAATTCCTACCACCTCCCTCTCAACCGGGAGGCGGAAGGGGCCATGGTGCGCAACCTGAAGAGGTGGATGCCCAATCACCACCCGTTGTGGACGTGCATTGGCGTGGCCCGGCTTGCTGAGGACGATATGAGGGTGGAAATTGAGGTCTCGGCCCACGATCCCGAAGGGGCTGCCGCGGCCAAGGCTAGCAAGTAAACTGTTAGTATTAGACAACGACGTTTTCTGTCATCAACGGCAATTGCCCGTATACATGTGCCAGTCAAGTGTGCAGCCTGGCTGCGGTTTGGTATTAATGCATCTTATCTAGCCCATTACTCTTGACGCCTCGAAAACACATACACAAAAAAAAAAAAGGACAGTGAAAAACTCCCCAGGCATGCAGGCACATAAAAGAGATTTGACTGGCGTATTTCGTCCACAGTGGTATCCATACAAAGCATTGCGCAGCAACACATCATCTGTCTTCCATTTATCTGAAGCACTGGGCTCGCTTATCCGGAAACCAACACCCAAAGACTGCGTTCATATCAATACAGACTGTCAATCAAACGGCAATGTGAGGGCGCCACTTACAGGAAGAAAATCATCAACACGCCAAACATCTTGGCTATTAACCACCGGTTGCTCGATACTCGAGACCAATATTTCAAAAGCTCCCTCTGAGCGCCCTCGACATTGTCCACGACGTCGTCTGTGTTGGCGTCGATTCGCTCAATCATCTCGCTCTGTTCTGAGACCATGGTTGCCAACTGTCCAAAGATACTGCCCAGTTCGTTAATCGTTGACTCAATGGCCTCGATGGCCTCTCCCCTCTGTTGAATGTAGACATTTGTAGGCTGGGCTTCTTCCATCATCAACAGTTGCTGGTCGCCGACAGGGTTGAGCGAGAGCGTGTCGGATGCGGGGGCTGGTGAGGATCGATTGGGCGTGCCGTATAGGGGCGAGGCGGACTTCTGGATGGATGGCTGTGCATGCTGCGCGACGGATGAGATGAAGTTTTCGGTTCGCGACCTTGACGCTTGAATGTTCTTGGTCCGCTCCTCCAACACGTCCTTGAAATTGGCCGAGACGTCGGTGAGCTTGCCTTGCAACAAGTACACGACGTTCTTGTTGTGCTCGCCTTCTTGGTCGGCTTTGGGATGTTGCTGCTTTGAAAGGCTTTGCAAGCTCCCGATCTGCTGATTAAGGGCAGAAAGATCTTGCTTGATGACAAAAGTAAGTTCGTTGATTTCAACGGGTCGGTCGTCGAACATGGTCCGTCGCTTGGCCACTACGTAAAATGTTAGCATTGTCACAGCCCAGTGGACAATGTTCCAGCTGAACCCACGTTGTGCCAGCTTCTCGAGCTTCCCCATGGTCGCAGAGATGCCTCGGCCAATTTCGGCAGCCTTCCTCGCAAAATCTGATCTCTTCGGTTGCGCGGATCCATCTGCGGCGGCTTTCTGAGCATCAGTCAGAAGTGACCGCCGCTGCGATCCGACCTTGTTCGCATTCTGGCGTTTCTGGGCTTGTGCCAGAACCGACTTGAACTCGGAGGTTCGATCCTGAATAGACGCGACAGCCATCTTGACCACGTTTTATGGTGGGCAAAAATCGCGGGACGACTGCAACCAGCGCGGCTTCGCGACCGAGATGATGCCCGATACTAGGGGAACGAAGCACAGCAGTCGAGGAACTGTAAGTATGTTGGTAACTAGCTGGTACAGACTATTCAAGGTGGATCGGGAAAAGTCTCTGTTCGTTTTCGTCGCGATTAGATTCCTTAGGAGTGGGTTCGAGCGGCGAGGCAGAGGGCAAGGAACCGGAATTGAAACAAGCCGAGGGAATTGAAAACAAGTAAACTAGGTGCGCAAGAGACGACATACAAATCTACCAAGCTGCGGGGTGTCCATAGAACGTGATGATGAGGAACCGTGTCGAAGCGCAACGGAGTTTGGGGTTCGGCAACGGGCGAAGTGGCATCTCCTGTCGGGTTGAACGAATTACGACACACGTGGTTGATTTTGGCTTGGCCGCCCACGCCGGGTTTGGTTGGCTGGCCTAAGCAAGCTGGCTGCAGGCGGAAAGGGGCTGATGCCATCACTTTTGTTGAAGCCTTCTGAGGCTTGAGCACGGCGCCACACGGAATGGTACTCGAGCTTCGCCACACTCTAACTTCGCCACATCGAGGTGCAACCAGAAATAGGTAGGTAAGTTAAATATCGGCTGCGGTTAGGCCTCTGCAAATAACTAAACGCTGAATAAAGAGGCACCTGGGGGCAATGATATTACTCTGTGTTTCGAAATTAATGGATTGCAGGAACAAACCCCTTGTGCGTCTTGACATGTATGTACGTTGCTGCGGCAATCCTTACCATGTTGCATTCCAGACCGCACAATCATTTCGTGCTGTCTTGGGAGAATCAAAGGGCCTCGGCCAGACGCTGGTTTGCTGAATGGCTGAACCTAATTGCCCCCGGGCTGCTTCAGGTGCTTCAGGTGCCGTAGTCCGTCAACGGGCTCCATCATGACCCAGAAATGAGCCAAAAATACTGCGACCTCAGCTGGCAAGGCGCCACAAGCGACCACCCTGCCATCTTGTGTGGGCCAATATGCTTCAGCCACTTGGTTATTTTAGCCAAGGGTCACTGAACGTAATATCCCCACATCTAATACCATCCGTTCTGTCAAATGTACTCTCTGGTGAAGATTCCGGCCGGGAATACTTTCTTCATTGGATCCACTGTTAGTAATGGCTTGCGCGCCCCCAGTCTGCTTCCCACGAGCTCCCATCTCAACGTAACCTCCAGAAACTGGCCACACCTAGTTACTCCGTACTCTTTTATCACCAACCGTAGCTTGCTTTTCGTCAGGTTTTGGATCGTTTGTTCTCTTTCCGCATTGATTTCTTGTATCAATACTATCTTCTCCGACAGCCATAATCCCCTGTACACCGCCGGAGAGCGAATTCATCGCTCGCTGGTCAGCTGAGTTAGGATTACGACGTCACGACCCCGATTTGGCCTCACTGCAATTGAATATTTTAGAATGCGTGGTTGAGAAGCTTGACTTTTCATAGTTCGCACCTAGTCAATCAAAGTGGGCGGTTCGTTCAACTTGGCGGCTCGGGCGCGGCCAAGCTTCAATGTTCGTGCGCCCTCGCGTCCTCTTCGTTTCCGTCCCATCCACATTGAATCGTAGCTGACATTTGCCGCCTCATCATTTAGGTCCCCTCAAACGCCAACTGGTAGCAGTGCCTACCAGGTCAATGTGAACCGAACAAAGACGAGAAAATGGGTCGAGGCCAAAGTACAAAGCTACGATGGCGACGATTGGGGCGCCGATGAATATGACGATGAGGAGTCCGAGGAAGATGTCCCGCCGCCTTGGCCCAAAACATCCGTACGCGCTGCTGGGTCGAGGGAAGCAACACTTCCATCACTGGAGACGCAAAAATCTACCGAAAATTGGACGCCCACATCCCAAACAAAGTCGACAACCCTGACATCACCTGTCGTATCCGGCTCCTCAGACTCTGGTTTTCCTCACACCGAGGCCAATATTATGGTGCCTCCACGTGTCGTCGACACTGTACATGATGTTGGCAACCGTATCAACCACTTGGAGAAGGCAAATAATGATCAGGCGCCTGACTTAGTAGGCTCCCAGCAGGTCAAGCCACCGTCTTTTGTTCCATCTTCAGATGTCTACGGTCGTCTCCGGGAAGCAAATGAAAAGGGGCGAAGGTCACCTAGCTCGGCTGATGCTCCTGACCCCATTGGCAGAGACGAGACTTTTCATCTCGGAAACAAGACTGAGGTGTCTAGTCGGAACGCTGATGACGACGACCGTCGGACTTATCTCAGCCCAAAGCTGCCTGATTTGGCCAGAATGTCGGCCTTTGGCACGGATTCCTTCTCTACCGGAAGTGTTGACTCATCCAAAGGTCAGCCGATTTCTGGACAGGACACTGGGTCTGGTTCTTTCTCAGAGCTCCCAACTACCAAGGCGGAAGTAGTCCGACGGGCGTCTCAACTAGCGGAAGAAGTTCCGGCCAAGGAGAAGACGGCTGTAGTTGAGGCTCCGACGCAAGAATATGACGACAAGAAGACGGCAAAAGGCGGCCCATATCAAGTTGAGTCGCTGCCAATCATTGCCTCATCTGTATATGCAAATACAGATGATTCAGAAGTGGCTGAAATCAAAACGCATGCGTCGCCTACAGCAAATGCTGCTTCTCGTAAGCTTTCCAAGGATACCATCCCTGTATTGCATCCGAGCTCGGATATGGATATAATTGCTCCACTACGGACTCCAAGCCCACGTGGTCCTGCGCAGCCAGCCCCGGAAACACCAGAGACTCCCCCGGATGCTGCCGGCGCTCCTCTAGCAGCAACCATCAAGCCAACAGAGGGTGGCTCTGAGGTAAACTTAGAATCCAACCGTATCCAGCGTGAGACTACTTTCAGTACGGTGGCCTCCTCCCCTGTCAAGGACAACGATATTCTGAGTGATGAGATTTTGAAGTCTTTGAACCCCGCCAGCGGCTCTACCCAGGAATTCAATCGAGTTTCTAGCCATGGCTCTCAATCGTCGAGTATTCAAGCTGGTAGGGACAGCAGCTACACCCTTCGGGACTACCGCAGCTACTGGGCGGCCACCGAAGATAAGGCCAAATCTCTCGAGACTTCAGCGTCTTTCCCCGCAATCCCCGAACTTCCTGATACCCAGAATGAGCCTTCCAGCCAATCTAACATCAGTCCCGTGGATAAGGCAACTGAATCACTAGTGTCACCTCAGTCTCCGGAACTCCGCCGTCGATTTTCTTGGGAAGCAGAAGACACAAGCCCAGCACCAACGCAACAAAGCCCCACCAATTCGCAATTGTCCATGGCTCAAACACGTGGGATAGTAGTTGAGCAGCCGGCAGTTGATGTGAAGCCTGAGGTAGTAGACAACAAGCAATTAAAGCACAGACCTTTCGATGCCGCTGGCGTTTCACCTCAAGTATCTAGCGGCAGTAGCGGCCATATACCTCGTGGCCAGCAGGCCGCAATTGATGAATCTTGTCCTCTCTCTCCAGTCAGCGATAACGCCGCCGCTGGAGCTCACGCTAATGAAGGGTTTTCCCTTGCCGAGAACAAGGCATTTGAGAAACCTGCTTCGAGTCTTGTGTCGGCTGTAACGGTAGCTGACGACCAGCCTGTTCTTACCATTCAGACATCTCCTTCAGCCACGCCGCCTCCAGTTTCTCCGGTCTCACAACAGACACAGCCACAAACCATGAGTTTCCGAGAAATTATGAACCTGAATAGCTCCAGCGAACGCATTGCCAAGTACAACGAAACGCGAAACATATTTTCATCGACAGATTCTGGGCTCGCACGTTGGCTTATTTACCTCAAAGCTCAGCATCCGGGCATCTCATCCTCTGGGCCCTTGTTTGGTGCCCAGGGTCCTCGGCAAACCCCCCAAGTAGCAAGTGTGGCGAGTCCCGTAGCAGGAACACAACCCAACACGGCCCAACAACCATACTACCAACAATATCTCAATGCCAGCTCACCGACCGCCTCCGGCTCTCCCCCGAACCGGGCG